ATCAGACAGAGTTACATTATTATACTTATTTTCTTCCTTTACGTTTCTTTTCAAACCCCCTTTTATTTTTAGGAGGCTTAGGAGCCATAGCCCCTAATTCTGCTTCAGTCTAAGGATTCAGCCATCAAAGAGTTCTTAGAACTTTCTTCATTTTCATCTTCTTCTTTTTGTGCATCTCTATCATCCTCCAATTTCTCAGGTCCATCTTTATCTTGTTGCTGTTGCTCAGGAAATTTTTTTGCTTTAAGAACAGAGTTAATATTTTCTTTCTTCCTGTTGAAGTTGAAAATAATGCCTTCCGGTGTAATCCATCTGTAAGAGGTGTTATGCTTTTGCAAAAACAATGCCAAGTCTCTGTATTGTCTTCTTCTTTTTCTGATCTCAAATGGAATGTCTTTTAAGGTTTTGACTTGTTATCCTTGGATTTTCAAAACATTTCCGCTTGTCGCTTTCAGAATCAAGTCTCTTGTTGACCTTTTTGAGAATTTGACAAATATTTCCCCGGGAAGCTTATTTTTCTTTGTATATTCTGGATATGTACGATATATCATATCCATGTCACTTTGTAACACTTCCACTGTTAAGCCTACCACGGGGGCCAGTTCCTCCTTCAGGTCCTCTCCTTTCAGTTCTGGGATGTTCTGAAATCTCGGGACATATGCTGATTTTTCCATTTGGAGAAGTAATAGTTGATGATTTTCAGAGATTTTATCCTTTTCCACCATCTCCAATCTTTGTCCAAACGCCCTGGATTTAAGATTAACTTTCTTCAGCTTCTTGGTTATCTTCTCTGTTTTTGCTAAAGTTTCTTGAAGTTCCTTATGCAATGTGTCAAATTTCTGGTTAAGCATGGTCATCTGGTCCACTAGAGGGCGCAAGGCTGCAGCAATAATTTTGGATAAGTCTATAGTTGCTTCTGGTTTAAAAGCTGGAGATGATGTGCTGGCTGCTCCTGTAAGTTTAGCTTTTGCATCCATTTTCTCCGAGCGCTGCGTTGTTTATAGTTAGTAAGATGTTTTGAAAAGTCTCTTAAAGTCTGAAAATATCGCTTTCTAGCTAATCCGCACCGCACTCCGTCAGCATCCACTCTTTTCAAGCCACCCCCGCCTCCAGCTTTTAACTCAGTTCTTTGGACGTGGGGATTTCCCCCCCCCCACTTATTTGGGGCTTTGGGGCGGCTTTACTCCCGACATTCAGATGGCAGCTCGCTAAATAGTAAGTTTACTCCCATTCTTACTTGCGTTTGTTTAAGCAGTAGGGAAGATCAGTCCTGGTAGATCTCTTGCACGCTTGGTGTGCGTCTCTAGGTGCCATTGCTGGCTCCATGCTGTGAGGACCTATCGGGGCAAAGAGGCGCCTCAATCCCTTGGCATTCCACCTTGGGAGAGGCACGTCTCGTGCCCCAGGCTGCAACCCTCCTACAAAGGGTCGCGGGGGTCCACGATCAACTTGGACCCCTCCCCATCGGCACATTTGCAGGCCGCTCACATCAGAGCAACAATGGAGCGCACCTACTTGCGAGTCGCCAAAAACCGGACGCCAGCGTTGGTCTTTTTTATTGCAGTTGCACACTGTCTCGACATTTTCATTGAGTTATCTACTACGACCTGAAGATCTCTCTCTTGGTCAGTCTCTGCCAATCATGATACACAACACAACCCTCTTTCCAAACGTACAGTATAAAACAAATTTAGAGGCCTGCATTTTATTTAGACTCAGTGAAGCCACGAAGGCTTAAAAATACTGGTTTGTAACGGCATACTGCATTTAGGCTGAGGTCACACACACTAAATAATCCACTTTCAATCCACTTTCTATGCACTTTCCAACTGGATTTTACTGTTGTGAGCTAGCAACATCCAGTTGGAAAGTGCATAGAAAGTGGATTGAAAGTGGATTATTTAGTGTGTGTGACTGCAGCCAGAGATTCAAATCTAGATATAGTATGAGTTTTGAAGTCAAGGCTCTCTTCATCAGATGAGCCTTGACTCTTGAGTGCTCATACACTGAAAATCTTGTTGGCCTCTAAGGTGTTACTGGATTTGAATCTACTGTAGACCGACACAGCTGCTCTCTCATAGTATATCTATTACTCATCACGGTATCTCAGTCTTTACTGCTTGAATTATGCTTTCCATGAATGCCAATGACCTGGATGGCCCAGGGTAGCCTGAGCTCAACAGATCTCAGGAGCTAAGCAGGATTGGTCCTGGGTAGTATTTGAATGGGAGACCACCAAAGAAGTCCAGGGTCTCTACACAGAGGCAGGCCGTGGCAAACCACCTCTGACATCACTTGCCTTGGAAACCCTGCAGGGTTGCCATAAGTTGGGTGCGACTTGGTGGCTCTTCCCACCACTGCCAGTGAGCAAATCATGTTGTGCTTTGCCTTGAAAATATTGGTGAACCAAATATTGTGTGATTGAGATGGTTGGATTTTCCCCTGCAGCTCATCCTGTTAATACAAAACAGGATTTCAGATCAAGTAAACTGGTATTTGCTTTGATATATCAGCTTTATTAGTGTACCTGTTGTGTTTTCCCATAATAAAACCTAATGCAGTCATCTTTTGATGTAATATATTATGGGAAAAAATCTTTTTATGGTAATGTTAACCCCTCATGCCGTATGCAAAATTTTGTGTCTAAAATGTAGCGTCTTGTAATGAACCTGCGGTGTGAAATACGTAAATGCAGCACAGGGGTAGGCAAGGTTTTCTTGGTTGGGGTGGGGCGTGTGCCAAAAAATCTGCAAGGTCTGGATGGAAAGATGTTGCTAGAATACAAAGTGTGGGGAGGTTATAAGAGTTGTAAATGGTCAGACACAGCTAATCCTCAGTAGCGCTGCCAGCCCTTCAGGGGCTTGCCTCAGTCACTTCATGCTGCTGTTTAGCACATATATATGCCCAGGATTGCCTGTTTTTTGATGCAGGCAGCTTGGAGTGAAACTCCAGTGTGGCGTATGGATATAGCTATCATCAGTTAAACTACAAGGTGTGTGGAGCCCCTCTTTAGCAAGCAGGAGCTGTATTGTGGTTGGCCAGTGAAACCAAGGTGGTACCATAGCAACTTGACACTGTATAGGCAGCCCTGGGAGAACATAGAGGTGGTCAGGAGCAGGAAGGCTCCAGGCTCCAAGTGTCCTAATCCTAATGCTGCAGATTGTGATGCGTCATTTATTAATATGTAACACGCTTGAAAGCTAGGCTGAGTCTGACGTAGTACTTTTCTCTTATTTTAGATATAATATTGAACCCAGCCTGTATTGCCCCTTTTTCTCCCTCGGAGCATGCATGGAAGGTCTCAACATGTTGTTCAATAAACTCTTAGGAATCTCCCTGTATGCCGAGCAGCCTGAGAAAGGAGAAGTGTGGAGTGAGGATGTCCGCAAACTGGTAAGAGATCTAATTCCTAAATGTCCGGATGCCCTTAGGCAAAAGCAACAGAGATAAAATATCCTTGTTATTCTCAATGCACATCCTTTAATCACAAAGCCCTTCACACGCTCTGTTTAGTTTGTATTAACATTATTGCTCTAAGTACATGTACCTCCAGGTCAGGCCCGCAGCTACAGCGGGGCATCTCGGGGCTAGGCCCCCTGATTTACTGGCAAGGCCCCACAACTTCCCATCCAGCCCAGGACCCATAAGCAGCGGCAGGTGCAGGGAAGGAGCCGGGTGTTCCTTTAACTCGATTAGCCCCCCTAAGAAATTTAAATGCCCCCTGACTTAAAAAATCCTGGCTACGGGCCTGCTCCGGGTTTACCATCTAAACTTGAAGATGGAACGGTTTAGAGAGGAAAGCAAAGTAAAAGGGAGAGGAGATCAGGTGGAAAAAGTCTGGGTGAAAATAGGCATCTTAAGAAAGTGCTTGAACAATGCAAGAAAATAAGATGCTATGCGGAAGGGGTATTCTTGTGGTAAATGACTAGAAGGGAGAAGTGGAGCTTAAGTGGGTTGCCTTTGATTCTTTTGGGGTTTGAGGAGTATGGACAGTCACACTCCCACATATCTTATCAATTTGACTTGAATCCTGCTTCTCTCCTCTCGTTTTAACCTGCAAACAGGAGATGGTAGCATTAAAATCATTCGCTCTGGTTAAGAAAGGATTTAAAACTAGGTTGACCAGATCCAACTGAGTGTTCATTTGAAGCGTGCTGCTTCTCACATCTCTCTTTTTTGTTGTTGTTATTCTGCTCTCCACTGAGTCTTCTTTCTCCTTTTCTCACTGAGTGCCAGTGGGAGTTTGTCACTCATAAAAACCCATTGTAAGGTGGATTTAACTATTTTTGGCTAATCTTTCATAACTGCTTCCTACTAGCTCTACGCCCACTAAACTGTGATAATCAGTTTAAAGCAGATTTCACATGTCAAACATTGCTCAAGAGGTGTTGGTTATTTATGAATTACTTCATGAGTCATTCGTTTGGATGAGCTACAGAAACAGTTTCAATTATCTTGTGAATGAGTCTGAAATTATTTATTGGTTTAAGTAGTCCATCAATAGGGAGTCACTGTTAAAAATTCCTAAGATTTGGGGAAATCTTGTAGAATCTGTATTTGTTAAGGATTCATACACAAATGCCACATTTTGACTAGTTTTTATACAAGCAGCACATAGTATTAGGTTATTGCATCTTTGCTTTGATTTTTAATGTATATTTTTAATTTTTTTAGGCAGTTGTCCATGAACAGGAAGGGTTATTGGGGTATATCTACTGTGATTTCTTCCAAAGACCAGACAAGCCTCATCAGGTAACAACTTTGACCATTAAACTGTTCCATTCTGTACAGTTGAAAACAATCCCGAAGATATTTCTGGAGCTATTTTATTTATGTGTTTGTTAAAATATTTACATCTTGGCTTTCCTTGTGGCTCAAGGCAACTTACAAACCACCAGTTAAAGTATTATTTTATTAAAGCACGTACACTTTTGTGATGATCCTGCATTCTCTTTTACCCAGCAGAAATTTAGATTCCACAGTGATGCCAGCTGTTGAGTATCAAAATGTTACCATCTGTTCCCCTTTTTTTTGCACTTCTGAGAGCTTGTTAGGTGCTTTGAAATGCTTTCTCTGCTACCTTAAAAGTCCAGTATGCCTGCTGGAACGCTTGATAAATTTCATCCTAGATGAACAAAGCCCTCTGTTTTAAAATGTTGTGGGGCTGTGACTCACTAGCAGAGCATCTATATGGCATGCTCAAGAGTTCCAGGTTCCATATTTGGCATCTCCAACTAAAAGTATCACATAATAAGTGATGTGGAAGACCATTACCTGGGTCTCTGAAGAGGCCCTGCCAGTCTGAGAAGACCTTTCTGGACCAAGGGTCTGGTTCATTGTAAGGCATCTTCATGCGACCATTCATTTGGAAACAGTCAAAACATTTTACCTGGGCATGACTGAGAAGAATGCAAATGCCTTTGTTTGGTCACTTATTTACTTCAGTGTGGATTAAGGTACTGCAATTATAAGTGGTTTTTTACAGTTTCATTCCATGCAAGACTGTTAGGTTGTGGCCATAGGCTATAATATATTAACATGCATCTGCATAGGTAATCACAGGATCTTATATTGCCAACTGACAGAGTTCGTTCTCAGCAGCTAGCGATAGAACCCGTTTCTTGGCAAAGTGTAAACAAACCTGTTGATAATTTTGGATTAATAATGGCTGAGAAGCCTGTTGTACATTAGAACATTCCATACCAGAAAACTGCATAACAGTGCTGCTCTAACATCATAATCAAATTAGTTGTTCATACTTTATATCCTGTTGAGAAAGCTTTGAAAAGTATTGAAGTCATGCATTGCTGATATGTATCCTGTGACAAATTTGTTGCAGTTCTCTTCTGAGGAATGGGGAAAGGGATTTTTTGTTTGTTCGTTTTTAACAAATAGTAGCAGTTCAGGCTGACAGGAATGTGAAGTATATGAGGACAAATTAATTTTCTTTGGAAATTATTTTCCATTTAATTGTGTTCTGTCTACTCTTGCGCTGTGCTGCTGTTCTTTAATCTCTGCTTTAATACGGCAAAGCGGTGTGAGAGGCTTGTTCCTGGTCCTTTTGAAAATGTTTGCAGAGATGAACCTTAGGTTTGTCCTTGATATACAGAATATTATGCTGAGGGCGCTGGCCAGCTTTCATTCTGAGATCCCAGAATTCAAAGGGAGTACTGCATTATGAATTTCTCCCCCTGCGTATTTGTCAAACTAAAATGGTAACTTGTCCTTGAAATGCAGAACATTAATATGAACATTAACTTGATTTTTTACGTTCGGTTGGTTGATTTTTGTGCATTTAATTGATTTTGCACATGTCAGTCTCCAAGGTTAATATTGTGCTGTGTTTTACATTTCTTTCCCCATCTTTGAAAATGTGTGGAGGGCTTGAGCTGGTTTTTGCATTTGAAACGTGGACTTATGAGATATTTCATTCTGTTATCTTAGTATTCAGTAGGGTTACCTTATTACAGTAAGCAAGCTTTAAAATGAAACTGAACCAAAAGAATGGGGTTAAACAGGTGGACTTGCTTTAACTGGCCAGCTAGACAGGTCTTCATTCAGACTAGTGCAACAGCTTGACTGAAAATGATGTAGTAATTGTAAGCAGGCTGAGTGACAAAACTGTATTGGTGCCTTATATATTATTAATGTAGTAAGATATTGCAGTTGATTTTCTGAGAGGTTTTTCTTTTTCTTCTTTGCAAAACAGGATTGCCATTTTACAATTCGTGGAGGCAGGTTAAAAGAAAATGGCGAATACCAACTTCCTGTTGTTGTCCTGATGCTCAGCTTGCCCCATTCCACTAGGGGTTCACCAACACTACTAACTCCTGGCATGATGGAAAACCTCTTCCATGAAATGGGACATGCCATGCATTCTATGTTGGGAAGGACTCGATATCAGCATGTCACTGGTAAGTGCTTGTAGTTAATTCATTAAAAGTCAAATCAGTCCTTCATTTTTCACAAACACTCATTTCAGGTTTATGTTACATACTGCGTGTGTGGTTGCTCAGAAGTTTTTAGTTTTGTCTTTAAGAAAGCTGTGAATAATTTTTTCAGTAATGTTTCTTACTGACTTTCAAACTGAGTAACTGTTCAAAAATTATTCCACATTAACTTTTATATTATATAGAAGCTGTTCCAAACCTGTTAAGAAACAGAATTTGCAATGGGTAGGGTTCCCAAGTACTTACCGCAATCCGGTGGGGGAAACATGCTCCCCGGCCGGACCATTCCTCCCTGTAACGCACCATGCCATCGCCAGGAAGTGACGCTGGGCGACGCTCTGGCAATGGGGCTGAAAACTCGATGGTACCATCAAGTTTCCAGCCCCATTGCCAGAGCGTCGCCCGGCGTCACTTCCTGGCGACGGCATGGTGCGGCGCGTCTGTTGTCCCCGCGGGAATGATCCTGCGAAGACGTCTGTGTCCCCCGCCGAATCACAGGAAGTACTTGGGAAGCCTGGCAATGGGATTCTCCAGATGAGAGCAGGCTTTATTCTGTTGGTAGGGGGCTCTAGGGACCAGAATCAGGTTTAGCCCCCTACTCCAATCTGTATGCCCCTGGATGTTTCTACCATATAAAGCACTGGTTGCAATTCACTGTTATGTGGAAAGGAAGCCTCTGCCCTTAGGAGAACCGCTGTGGGGCAAGCTACTGGCAGTAAATATGCTTTCCAGGTAGTGCTGGCAGTCACAAAGCCCAAGACCATATCAGTCAAACTGAGTTTCCCTTACACATAAGCAGCTGTAACCTCGATTGACAGTGGCAGACCATGGGAAGAGGCTGAGCAGGAACAACCTAGTGGCAAGTAATGTATATGCTGTCTGGGTGTCTCAAAAATCTCTATCAGATATCTGATGAAGTGTGCATGCACCCAAAAGCTTATAGCCAGAATTAAACTTCGTTGGTCTTAAAGTTGCTCCTGGACTCAAACATTGTTCTCTGTAAAATATGTGAGATGATGTGGATGAACTTTACAAATAAGGCAAGCATAGCCAAGAAAGGCTGGAAATGGGGAGGGGGCATGCTGGATATTTTACCCTTGGTGCATTGAGTGTATGCTTTAAAGGAATTAAAAAGCACAATTAGAGGTAATATGTAAGGGCATAGCCAGACAATTTTTTTTTAAGTGCTGTGTTTCCCCTGGCCTTGCTCTAGTGACAGTAGTACAATATCCTGTCTGTGCACAGCGGATAATGTTTAGAACTACTGCAGGGTGATGTGTGTGTGTGTGACTTATTTTCTTTTTACCAAATGCTCCCCCACAAAGAAGCACCTTAATGGAAGGTGTGGATTCCAGTGCTTGGAATGGGAAATGCCATGTGACATTTGTCATTGGCCTGGTACTAATTATTAGCAAAGTCAAAAAAAACTCCAGTGGTATTGTGACAGTGGATCAGAGAGCCGATGAATCCTTCAATAGACTATGAATTAATAGAAGGAATTGTAAGGTCCATCCTCATGTGTTGATCTAGATTCCACATATCAAACAATATCAGTTGTCCATTTGTCATTTAAGAAACTGGTTGTAATGCAAAGTTTGAAATGTGCCAGTTAGAGAGAGTACATTTGCAGAGTGAACATTTTATTTCATAACGAAACACCGCCACCCTTCCCTTCAAATGAATGACATCTTGAACAATTAAAGAAAGCAAATATGGATTGTGTGAGATTGTCAGGCAGATGGGGATGATAATATTTGTATGTGGGATTAAATTCTCAAGCATAGTTTGATATTTTTATTGTAATTGGGTATAGAGTTAAGACAATTAAAGATTTGGTGTTTAATGTGGGGCCAGGTTGGCTGTATCCTGGCTTAAGTTTATAAAGGGTGTGATCCACAGCTTTGTAGGGCGCCTCACCCAGCTGTTCAAATATTGTGTTTTACTTTGTGATTTGCAGTAAAACCCATAGGATTATAATTCGACTTTTCTGCCAACATTCACAGTAATGTTATAGAAATGAAATGTTTGCTTAATGAATGATTAATCACAGTTCATCAAAAGTGCAATTGGAAAGGGAAGAGGAACACGGGGAAAGACAGGAATTCATCCAGATATTATGACTCCCTGCATTTTAATCCTTTGCTTCATCTTCTGCAGGGACAAGGTGTTCTACCGACTTTGCTGAAGTTCCCTCTATCTTGATGGAGTATTTTGCAAACGATTACCGAGTGGTGAACCAGTTTGCAAGGCACTATGAAACGGGTCAGGTAGGGTTAATCGGAAAGCATTTTGTAAACTAAAGCATTTAAAAAAGAAAAGAAAACAATCATTAATGCAGGTTCAAAAGATGGGTAATGTGTTAATTTGTAGCAGCAAAATAAAGCAGGAGTCTAGTGGCACCTTAAAGGCTCAATAAATTTTGTTAGTTATAAAGTGCCACTGGACTCCTTACATCATTAATCCAGAAATACTAAATGTTGCTATAAATTTCCAAGACCGCTGGTTCATCGGATTGGTAAATAAAGAAAGTTATAAACTTTAAAGCATGTATGTAGTGCTAACTGCACCCAAGACACTATGAAGAGCACAGAAGCTGCATTCTTTCTACCCAGGAAATATGTCAAGCATACCTAATCTTTTTCTGAGAAGACTCTTTTTAATGTGAAATATACATTGTATTACTAAAACATAAGGGTTGAGTGGCCTTGTTTCAGATATTGCATTGTAATATGCATTTTGTATCTTTTCTTCCTTCCCAAACACAAAGCAGATTTTGAACTGCAACTGCAAAATTATGTCATAAATTTAAATATTGAGTTTCATTGTGATACTCATTCAAGCCTGGTGGTACCAGGTTTTCCTGGCCCACTGAAAATAAGATGTGGGGGTTGAGCTGGGTTTTCATCTTGAAATGTAGGATTGTGTCTAAAAAGCAGGGGTCATTTTGTAGAAAAAGAGGTGCAGGAGCTCATTAGCACAACTCATTAGCACAACTTATTTGCATATGCCACACCCCCTGGCATCACAGGAAGTGTGTCAGAAGGCAATACCCACCGCTCAGGTTCCACTGGACTGTTTTGGATTGCTAGCTATTGGGGGGGGGGGAGAGAATGTACAGATCTGTCCTCGCAGAGGAGGGAGAGCTTGTACCTGAATAAAACTTGGTCTTAAAGGTGCCACTGGACTGTTTTGGACAGGGGGGCCGGGGGGGGAGCTCTGCAACTTACCTGGCTGCTTCTTGCTCTGACTGAGGGCTGCTGGGAGCAGGGGGTGGGGCTTGTTGCATGTGCCCGCCCCTTGGGCTCTTTACTGCTGGAGCTCTGCTCCTGTGTGCTCCTGCAGGAAATGACCCCTGCTAAAATGTATGTGTACAGGATTGCTGTACAGGCTAGTTGAACCAGTGACCTTTCTTGACCTAACTAAAAAAGAAAGTAGAATTCTGTGGATCTGAAACAAAGCTAGTACATTTTCAATAACATAATTATATAGAACTAGGAATAAGACCTGTTGTGGAAATAAATACAACGAGCTTTAGAAAGAGACTCTAGGCGAGTGCTGTGGTGACCTCAGCAGGATATAATGACACAGAGTCCACCATTTTCTCCAGGGGAACTGATCTCTGCCATCTGAAGAGCAGTTGTAATTCTGAGTGATCTCCACCCCTCACCAGGAGATTGGGAACAATGGTTCACCAGGAGGAAATGGCTGGTTTGGAGGATGGAGTCTATGGCATTGTACCATTCTGAGGTCCCACCCCTCCTCAAACCCCACCCTCTCCAGGCTCTACCCATCAAATATCCAGGAATTTCCCAGCCTGGAGTTGGCAACCCTATCTCCTTCCCAGCCAACCATCAACATATCGTTATCTGCCCCTCTGACTTCAGATTTCCATCTCCTCCCCCCTCCCTGTAGCCTCTACCTAGGAAAAGTACAGTCTTTCTCCGCAGTGGGAACCAAAGCAGCTCACATAATTCTCCTCTCCCCCTTTTGATCTGCACAACAACCCTGTAAGGTAGGTTAGGCTGAAAGTCTGTGAGTGGTCTGAAAACCCAAAATCAACTTCCACAGCAAGAATCTGGGTCTGGCAGACCCTGTTCTGAAGTTTTAACTGCTACGTCACACTGGCTGTCATAGGGGGACCATCTCAACAGAGTATAATGACACAGAGCCCACCGTTTTCTCCTGGGGAACTGATCTCTGCCATTTGGAGAACAGTTGTTATTCTTCGTGATCTCCAGCCCTCACCTGGAGATTGGCAACAATGGTTCCCCAGGATGAAAAGTACAGTCTTTCTCTGCAGTGGGGACCAAAGTAGCTTATATCATTCTCCTCTCCCCCTTTTGATCTGCAAAATAACCCTGTGAGGTAGGTTAGGCTGAAGGTCTGTGACTGATCCAAAATCACCCACTCGGCTTCCACAACAAGAACCTATGTCTCCCCCTGCACAGCCACAGAGTCTTGTTATAGGGTATGTTATAGGGTGCACTTCCAGATAGCACGGAGCTGTAGATCTGGCTACCTCTCCTAGGTTTGTCAGGTTGGCAAACCTGAAGCTGCCTTATACTGAATCAGAGCACTGGTCTATCAAGGTCAGTATGGTCAGCTCAGACTGGATGGGGCTCTCCAGGGTCTCATGCAGAGAAGGGTCTTTCACATTACTTAATTCCAGACAGTTCAACTGAGGTGCCTGGTATTGAATGTGGAACCTTCTTCATGTCCAGAAGACGCTCTGCCACTGAGCCGCAGCCCCTCCTGTTGGTTTCCATGATTCCACTTGCTGCTGCTTATCAGTTCAGTTCTGAATTCACAGAGGTAACGTATTCTTCTGGCAAATACTTTCTGATACCCTTAGTTTCTCTGGCCACTTTGCAGCAGTTCTTTGCACTGGACATGTAGTTTACATGTTTACTTGTTGTGTGACCCTTAAAACAACTGTTCCTGTTAAATTTTCTTGCTAGTTGCTCTTAAGTGCAGTTGTACTGATGCATTACTATCATTTAGAACATCTCAGTGCAGTCCTGAGATATTCATGCACCCCCATGTCCATCGGCATCCTTTTCTACCTGTTCTTGAATGACATGCTGTAGGCATACATGTAGATGGGGAAAGGGGGTGGTGGGAGCTGTTAGTGGCTTTTAAACTGCCAATTTGGGCTTTAGGGAAAGGCTCAGTGGAAGAGCCTCTGCTTTGCACACAGAGAGTCCCAGGTTCAATCCCCAGCATCTCCAGTTAAAAAAACTAGGGAGTAGGTGATGTGAAAGACCTCTTGGTCAATTCAGCCGGGTCTAAAGATGGTCTTTTCAGGAGATGGACCAATGGGTTGATTCCGTATAAGGCAGCTTCATGTGTCATGTCCGTCACCCCCTCTATTAAGGATGTTACAGAAGTTTTCAAAGCCTATAGATCCTACTGACAGCAGTGGGAATTCAGGGTATATAGTGTTATATAAGACTGACAGCAGTGGGAATTCAGGGTATATAATACAAAAACTCATCAAATGTTAGTATCAACCATATATAGTGCCCTGTTGATTGGAAGACATGGTTGGGAAATGACTGTTTTCCGGTGACCTGAATAAAGTTATTGCTATAATGATAAATAACAGGGCTAGAAAATATCCAAGCACCTTAAAAAGAACCATGGTGCTGTCTTGACAAAGATTATTCCGTCACAAGTTGTAATACTTGTCTGGTCTTTTATCAAACTTTATGGAACTGGGTGTTTAGAATGAACAGATTTGCACATAAGATAGAAATGCATAAGAAGAATTTTCAGAATATAATGTGTAGCTTTGTGTTTTGCAAATATCAGGAGCCCAGGCACTATGTATCCTATTCTGGTTTGTTTTGCAGAGGAGCTTGTTTGGCACCAGCGCATTGTGTACCAGGAAGCAGTTGAGTCTGGCTGTAATTCAGCCTTGAAAGGCGGACAGGATGAGTTGTAATGTAGGATTAGGACTCAAGCCTGAAACTGCTGTTTTGCTGTCGTGTTCCTGAAGGCATGTTTCTTTTAGCCTCACTGAATATGAAAACAAAAAATTACTTTGGACTCAGCGATCTAATTTTTTTTGCTTTTAAAATTACGATCAGTTTGATCATAATATTTAAAAGCAAAACGAAGTCTATTATAACAAAGACTTTATTTGCTATAATTTTAAATGAGCAGAGTCTGACCTGTCGTTTATTATGATCATAGTGGCTGTGTGCAATCTATTCTGTGGGAAAATCGATGGCTGAAGCAAACTTTGTTTTCAAATGCTTAGAAGTAGGGCCAAATTCTACTAGCTTTCCTTGCCATTAGTTATGCTCTCTGAGAGGTGCTGCTTTGATTTACTGTTCTCAGTTATGTAGTTACATCACCCTTGGTAAGAACCTAAGCAGAACCCTTTTCATCAAGGCTGTAGAATAGAAATGGGGGGCTCGTTTTAAAAGCAGAACCCTTTTCATCAAGGCTGTGGAATAAAAATGGGGGCTCATTTTAAAAGCAAATGAAATACTTGTGGCACCGTAAAGATTAATAAAATTGTTCCAACAAGAGTATTCCAGCATAAGTATGACCGTTTGAGGTTTTCTGCATCACTGTTATCTACTGTACCTGTGGAAATACACACTGGAAGTATTACTACACCTTTTCTTTTGTCTGCACAGCTGGTATTCGAAGGATTTAACTGGTGTCTTATAGCAACAAATTTTCCTTATTTGTTTTCAAGATATTTGTATACCACCTTTTCATGGACATGGGGCCAAGGTGGTTCACAACAATATACAGTCCAATTATAAAACCAACATATAATTGAATAAGGAATAATATAATAAGAACCCATAAAGATCAACTAAAATAACTTAAATATGGACTATACTAGAATCCTCTTACAGACAATAAGGCTGCCAGTTTTTTAAAAACACCTACTTGAATCTGTGCTGACCAGATTGCTGACAGTTCTTTGAAGTTAATCATACTTCTTCAAGATACTCTTCTGTACATGGGAAAAGGGGTATGCGTGTGTGTGTGCGTGCTGTAGATTCTGCTTCTGTGGTATTTTTATAGCAACATTGATTCAGGGAAAGCTTTACTCCCTTGTAAGTGTGTTTAGGATTGCAGACAACTTATCTATTCAGTTCTAACCACTCTTACTGGAATCAGTGGTATTTATTATTTATTTATTTATTAAATCTATTCCCACCCTTCCCAACAGGCTCAGGGCAGGTAACATCAGAACATTTAACAATAAAAATCAATTAACACAATTAGTCTAAAAACAACAGAA